AAAAAGGACCTTATCTTATTATTTCACAAAAAATTTTGTATGCGAAGATGCCTTATATATACCAAAGATTTTCAAAATAAAGGTCGATTGAAAAAAGCAAAATAGCTGGCTAGAAATGTAGGCCAAGATGTCTTCCAAATTATAAGGCCGGAAACGGAACTCAAATATATGTGGAAAGAACTAATTTAATAATAAATAGACACACACATCGGAAAATTAAAAACTCGGATTTTTCGGCGCCGACGCCCATTTCCGATACAAAAAAAATAGTAGTCTCCCTCATGATAATAGGGATCGATTTATGGTTGAGGCAGACCTGTTTACCCTCAAACTCTTAAAATCGTACAATATCATCAAAAAGTCATTTAATATGTTATATTCATAGTAAAAATAACATACAGTATATACAATCTATACACCTCAAAATAGGGACCTGGGTATCGACCGGAAATACCCGAAAAACGGGTATCGTATTTTCGTTGTCATTTTGGCGACCTCTACTTTTTAATTTACTGAGGGTATCGTTGTTTCGCGTTTCATAATCGATATTTAGCATAATAATATAATTTTACTTCCGCCAATTACTTAAAGCCGACATCTTTCCTGTTATATTAAGAGTTCGTTTGATTTTTTGGGTCAAGATTAAAGCTTTGAAAATTGAAGTTAAAAATTGGTCAACTTCACTCAAGAATAACTTTTTTTTAAAAATGCGCTCTTAAATAAAAATACTCCGCTCTTTTAGTTTATATGTTCATTTAAAACATATCCAAAATTCATGAGTGTAGACCATGGGTGGGCTTCAAAAACGAATTTCCAAGATGTCATTTTTTTAGGCTATGTAATTTGTCATCATGGCCACCGTGCTTGTCTGCTTATTTCCAATTATCGATAGCAGCCGTGGGGTAATTAATAATTCATTAAGTTGGTTATCCAGAGTGTAAATGGGAAATATAACTAATAATAAATCATTTTATATAAATAAAAAATGTTTTATAACATAAATAATTATTATTGGCTTATTGAATATCAGTGATTTTAATTTTTGGGTTGGTTGCCATGGACCTGGCTGACACTGACATGGGAATGATAAGCTCTTGTCTTTGACTTAGATAGTGATAGGCTTAGTTTAAGTATTATAATAGTATTTATACTATTATAAATGATTTAAGGAGTGGGATAAATAGCTTTTATTACAACTAATATATTTATCATTTATATTAGTTTATATATTTATAGATAAATATTTATTTGTATATATATAATATA